CTTGTAAATATATGAATCATATGAATATGTATTGAATCATTCTGGTTAGAAATATTTGAATTACGTAAATCCTAATTATCATTGTGGAATTAGGAAACTGCCTAAAACTAAATTTGGTTTCATTTGAAATACAAGGGGCTAAAACTAATTTTTGAGTCTGAAAGAAAGGTAAATATTTCACTTTTTATACAGCAGTTGAAACAGTTGCTCCAATTAAATGCAGTTTAAAACAAAGTGTGGAGCGTTTAATACCCTCATCCAAACATTTATTCATGTTTGTAAGTTCGATTTAAAACTTGAGGACCTCAAAAGATACCGTTTTTGTGCAGAAACAGTTGGGGCTTTCTTGAAGTTTGATTTTTTTTAATGGTTATCTGTTATTTCCATGAAATCATTCACTCTGCTTTGACCTTCAGCAGGAGGTGCATTTCTCAAAATCCCTGCTGGTTTATTTCACATTAATGAAATAACCACCAAGTGCATTTAATACAAAGAATAACATGCACCTGAGAGGAGTGGAAAATATAACACTAATAATACAAGATGTCAAGGTCACATTTGACTCTCCTGCAGCCAATGCGCTCCTCCACAGGCCTACATGTCCTCCTCATGTTCTCACTTACTTCTCCTCCACCAGCTGTTTCTGGTACTCCTCATACTCCTCGCGGGTCATCCCTGCAGCTTTGGCCGGATCTGAAGGGGTGGCCTCCTCCTCTTTGTCGCCTCCACCCCCAAACCCCATTCCTGACAGGGGGTTCCCGATCATGCTCTTGATCAAAAAAGCCATCCTGACTCAAAACGACGAGGGAGTTTTTCGTGGAGAAGACAAAACAATATCAGCCTCCTTTGACTTCGCGTTGGCTTTCAAATCCAGTGGTAGCTCACTTGCTAACCCTCCTGCTTGTCTACGAAGTCAAGGACACACTGATGGCATACAACACACACACACACACACACACACACACACACACACGTTTTACCACAGCCATAATCTGGATTTAATCCTCCCTGCTTCACTAAACTAAGAGGCAGATGGCCTGTTTTCTCCCTATTTTTAAACCACAGAGACCTTTCTGAGGAGATTTTCAAAGACCTGTTTGATGTTAGAAACTTTAGGTGACACTTGCTTCATAATCATTAACAAAAAAAACTGTTTTGGGTGTCTAGTTTTTTTTTTCTAACCAACATAAAAGCACTGCAGCTTAATCATATTAGTGAGGTACAGGCCAGCCCATGTGCAGCTTATACTGCTGAGATCAAGCAGTGGAGGGAGAGGAGCGGGATTATTTTCCTGTTTATCCCCGTGAAGTCATCCTTCATGCTGCACTATTGTTTGACTGAAGGGTGAGAGACACTTTCCGTTTCATTTCACCCCACCTCTCCTCCATCACATCTTTAAAACCCGCCGAGGCGAGGAGCCTGCTTTTTGTTTTTGAGAAGTCACCAGCAGCAGGATGAATTCTGAAATGCTTCAGTCTGCTCACATTCAACCAAATGCTTTAAAACTCATTGGACGGCCCTTCGCAGTGAAGATGGACCATGATCCTAAGCATACTGCGAAAGAGTTTTTAAGGAGGTCGAGTCAATCATCTGACCTGAATCTTATTGAGCAGGTCACTTGTTGAAGACAGAACTGAAGGGAAAATGTCCCAAGAACAAGGAGGAAGTGACGAGTTGCAGTTGAGACCTGGCAGAACATCACCAGGGATGAAACCCATACAGCCAAAAAGATGAAAACTGTATGGGCCCGACTGTAGCTCTGCTTTTGGGATAATTGAATCCGTCTGAAGTCCTGGTTCTACCCAAACCGTCTTCTTCCAGTGGGACATGGCTAACACCTCCATTTGAAATGAGAGAGCAAACAAACCCGTTCCAGACTAGCTGGCTTCTTTTGATGCAATGGAGCCATTAATATTTTAAGACATAAGGACTAAAATGTGTAATGTCCACATAAAAAAAAAAAAAAAACCAATTAGGAGACGATACAATGGTAAGAAAGACAAGACAGAGTCACTTGTGTCAACAGTTTCTGTATTTTGTTCAGCCAGAGGACATGTTGGACTCAAGAGATGAACCCAAGCAGATACTCGACGGTGGAGGTCACTGAAAATGTTTTCTTATTTCTTACAAAAATACCCTCATTGCACATTTTTTAAAACAAATTATTTTTTCGATGCTGTACGGACTAAGGCAGGTTTTCAGTTTCTGAAAAACAAAATTTGAAGTTCTGACCAGGCAGAAATACTGAAAGGAACATGGAACATATTTTTGCTGAAACAGCGCGTCTCACACTAGCATTCACACACAATTTACTGATCAAATTATAAAAAGTCTCCTGACAATTAAAACAAACTCTTAAATCAACAAAACCATTTTCTTCATGTACAATAACTTACAATCTGAAATAAAAATTGAACTGAAAAAAAAAAAGGATGAAAAACTGACATTTTCTTGACGTATAATCCCTGGTCATCAAAAGAACTTCTTTGCTGCTGCTTCCTGTTGACTTCTGCAAAAAGAAGAAACAATTAAAATAGTTCTTTTAGCCGACACACACTTCTTAACTAAATAAAGAAAATGAACATTCTTACTTGTACATTATGTAGCAGAAGAACAAGACAGACTGGATGACAACGATGATCACGAAATGAACGGTGGATAAGCAGGATGGCGTGGGAGGCAGCTCAGGGCATTTCACCACCTTATCACCAGGGTTCTGTAGATGGAAAACAACAAAAAGTACCAGAATTGTTTGTTATACTGACTGCATCTTTTAACAGACGACAAAAAAATTCACAATATGTCCAAAATCAGGGGCTGCATCTTTCAAAGACCAAATTTTTTGGCCACTTGTGTCACTGCTCCGCTGTGAAGGCTGTCCAAATTTGAAGACTCTTCCAATTGCGGTCCACGAATGTGTCGTCCTTTTGCCTCGATTTGAAGGATGGGTCCAGGGAATCTCTCAGCCCGCTATGTCCCAGAATGCATAGCAGGCCGAACGGAGGTTTCTTTTTGCTTATAATGGTGGACGAAGCAAGAGATAGGAGGACTGTTTTAAAGAAAAATCTGGCAGTATTAAAATGTAAATTTTAAAGGGATCCCCGATTAGTTGTAACATTAGACTTTATTTAACAAACATATATTTTAACTGTAAAATAAAGACTGTAAAAATACTGTATGCTGTTTAGTTTTTATCATTTTTAACACGAACAGAGCCATTTTATTTACACACAAAGCATTCTGGGTAAATGATGACGTAGATAGGTCCTCGGTGCGAGGCTGCTAGCGAGCTATATCCACCCTGAAGGTTAATCTTAGACAATATCTGATGATTGTCTCTTTTAAATGAAACCAGAGAGCGTTGACAGAGAGGAGAAGGTAGAAATGACTCAGCCTGTAACTGAAAATATGGATGGAGGACCTCAGTTTAGCTTGTTTGTTGCGCTAGCACTGAGCTAATACATATAAGGCAATATAGCTTCGGCCCTAGCGCAAAGGCTAACAGGCTAAGCTGAGGTTCTTCTTCCATGAAGCAGCTCTGTTGTCCTCCATCCATATTTTCAGTAACAGGCTGAGTCATTTCTACCTTCTCCTCTCTGTCAACGCTCTCTGGTTTCATTTAAAAGAGTCAATCATCAGATATTGTCCAAGATTAACCTTCAGGGTGGATATAGCTCGCTCACACCGAGGACCTATCCACGTCATCATTTACCCAGAATGCTTTGTGTGTAAATAAAATGGCTCCATCCATGTTAAAATATATATTTTAATAATGTACTAAACTAAATAACCTACAGTATTTTTACAGTCTTTATTTTACAGTTAAAATATATGTTTATCAAATAAAGTCTAATGTTACAACTAATCGGGGATACCTTTAAAGCGATTGTGTTGTTAGCCTTTTTGTCATTTGCGTAGAATTTTTTTTTATAATATTAAGAAATTATCATAAACGAGTTCCTTTGGTGGGTCTCTTAGTTCCTGTTTTGCCTCCAACCAAATTTTGTTTATTTAGAATAATAATTATGTATTAATACTTTATTAATTTCAATCTATTTTGGATTTTCATTGCTTCTGTTTAGGGCCGTCACGGTTGCTAGTAGGCTGGACATATGCCAGGATTAGGAGGGGAGACCTTCCAAATTTATATCCACTTTATTCCGAGCTTCAAAGTCAACAAAGGACCCGGCTCAAAGACTGGGAACAGGTCGGGTCCTTTGAAGGATGCGGCTGCTGAATTTGGACACAACCATAAATAGAGCTCTACTGCAGTTCAAGGGTAATATCTGTCAGTATACAAGATGATATCTGAACAAGGAAAGCAAGAGGTCAAACCAACAACCTTTCACTTTCCTGAAATATATTAAGAACTGCTCCAACCTCCAATCCAAACTGTAATAAATACCTGACTGCTGCGCTGAACCAGGTGATCCACGTCTCTCTTCACCATGTGCAGATGCTCCTTGATGTCGTTGAAGTGCTGAATGGTCTCATACGTGCCCATCCCGACTGCATTCCCCTGGTTCTGCTGCTGCTGCTGGGCAACGCTGATCTGTTTCAGGGACTCGTAGAAGGTGTTCCTGTGGAGACAGACGGGCCTAATAAAACCTGCTGCCTTGTAACATTATTGTGTCTGAAGGCTTCCCAAGGGACTGAAAAAAATCATTAAGTAAAGCCATGTTAGTGGATGGTAAATATGCTGTGTGCCATTGTTTAATACCAGTAATAAAAACTGTCCAAAATTAATCCTTTAATCCCTATTCACTGTAGGCTACGTTATCGCCAAGTTCAAACACCAGAAATTACCATCTGATAAAAGAGGTCATGATTGCTAAATTAATCCCTTATAAATATGTTCTTACAACAGATTACAAGTGCAGTGGGTTAAGAAAGCGAGCAGAAACTATCTGGATTATCTCATTTTTATAAAGGGGAAAGTTATGATACTAAAGACTAAATGAAAATGCGGATTTAACAAAACAGAACGAAAAACATATTAATTTTCCTTTACATAAACTCTGAGCATCAACACTATGTATTTAGTGCTTCCACGTTAAATCAGAGTGAGACAAAAATAGTAATTTTGAATTGAATTGAAATGGCCTTAAATTATCACAGAGACGGTTTGTTTTACTCAGACATTAAACACTAAAAACAAATGAAAATATAAAATGGGAATAGGATTTGTTTCTTTCATTTGTATTATGCTGACAAATAATTTAATTGAAATGTTATAAAATTGTCAAAAATTACAGCAAGTAGAAGTGATTTGCATTTCTGAAGAGTTGTGAAGCGTGAATCAAATGTGCTAAATAAATGTTTTGAGGCTACAGAAAATATTCTCAGGATTACTCAGCTATTATGGTTCTTAACTGGCTTGTATAGATTGACTATGTCAAAATTATTAATCATCAAGAGCTTCACCTTCTGGATCAGCTCTCGATTCACTACGACAGACCGGTACAACACCCGCATCACTGCAGACGCAGCACCAATCTGCCTGTCGATCTCCCGCTCCATTCTTCCCTCATTCGTGAACAAGACCCCGAGATACTTAAACTCCTCCACTTGGGGCAGGACCTCCTCCCCGACCAGTAGAAGGTACCCTACCGTTTTCTGGCTCAAGACCACGGTCTGGGATTTGGAGGCACTGATCCTCATCCCGGCCACTTCACACAATGCTGTTAACTGCTCCAGTGAGAGCTGGAGATCACGATCTGATGAAGCCAATAGGACCACATCATCCGCAAAAAGCAGACATGTGATCCTAAGGTCACCAAAAAGGATCCCCTCAACACCTTGGCTGTGCCTAGAAATTCTGTCCATAAAAGTGGAGTTGGACTTTGCCAAGGTTGTCATATTTGTAGGAAAAAAAAATGGGTTTAACTTGTTCACATGCTGAAGCTTAAAAATTTATATCTAGCTTCAGATGTATACATATGAGTGTGCGAGTATTAGTATTGTAAGATTTAAACATCTTCTGATGCCAATAAAATAAATCATTAAAGTCTTCACTGTTGCCGTTTCTGCTGCTGCTGGGACTGTTTAACGTTACACAAAGCTCTAATAAAAATACACAGTTTGCTAAACCAACTGTGGCCTACAGTGTTCTCAGCATTTCCTTCCTTCCTTCCTTCCTTTCATCTATCATCTATAACCGCTTCTCCCTTTCACACAGGGGGTCACTGGTGCTCATATCTAGTCACTGTAGGAGGGACGGGGTACACCCTGGACAGGTAGCAAGTCCATCACAAAGACAGAGAGACAAACTATTTGTTATCTCACTCACACTTAGGGACAATTTAGAGTTACCAGTCAGTCTAACATTCATGTTTCTTGTCTGTGGCAGGAAACCAGAGTACCTGGAGAAAACTACGTGGCACAGAGAGAAAATGCAAACTCTTTGGTCATGTTTTCGGGCTTTCTTAGTCATGGTAGTCCACAGAGGATGCAGAGAAGAGTAGTCAGCCTGTAGTGCCACTCTCATAAACATTTAACCCAGTGGGGGAGCTGCTCTGCCCTGTCTACCACTGACTTCTGATTTTAAACTCTAGAAAGTTAGGTAAGTGTTAATACTGCTCAGTAAGTTCTGCTGGTAAAACCTCCTGGTTTTCACTTGGACATTTGGCACCTACATGAACTTAAAATCCTAATTTCTTAATCCTTGAGTTGCAACACGCACGTTGAGTACCAGCTAATGTAACTGTTGTATGGCTGTGTCACTATTAAAATTCCTAAAAATCATTATGGTCACCTAAAATAAAAACTCAAATTCTGCAGAAGCTCACAGATTAAATTTAAAATGAGTAAATCTAGTTAGCAAATAAAAAGGTTCTAAGTCCAGCAGTCTCAGAGGAGAATCGAGACATCTAAGCTTGGATCACATTTCTCCGCAAATTATACTTTCTTAAAGTTGATTTCTTACACGGAGGAAGCAATAAGTTCCCTTTATCATCTTAAACACATCTAAGGCGATTATAAAGGGGGAGAAAAAAGGTGAGTGGACAAATGAAAAGAATTTCCAGCAGCGTAAGTAGGAAGGCCCCGGGGAGGATTGTGACAAGAAATCAATTGGACGGAGCCCATGTTTTGCTTGTGTATGACAGATGTATTTAAAGGGCACTAATCTGATAAGGACAAAACGGTGCTAAGAAGTGGCCTTTTCTTGCTCGGCCACATGGCCCAGGTCTGAGACAAGGCTGACATGTAAACAAAATCTAATTTGTTTTACAGTGAATAGGGGACAGACAAAAAAAAAAAAAAAAAAACACCCTTAAGAAAGTAAGAGAGCATTTATTAAACCCTACATGTAATCTTCATCTTCTACAAGTGACCCATTTTTGGACAGAAAGCCTCCTTTGTGTGAGCAGAGAGCCCGAGATGAAGTCCTAAACTCTGTTTAAATGACGGGTCGGGATAAACCGAGAACTTAATCTACCCAGTAAGACAGATCAGTCGCTCACATTAGCACATTAGAGGGGCAAGCTGCAGCCTTTTGCCAGTGTCTGAACTTATTTACAGTGCCAATCAGCTTACTTCTGAGCACCAACCTATCTTAAAATTGCCTCTCAGCTTATACACATTTTACCTACTCACTATGGGACATCATTCACTTACAGGGGTCAGGGTGCATGACCACATATGATAAGTACTGCATGATTTGTGTGTCAGCAGTATGATAAAGAAAATCATAATTTAAGAATAGACGTTCTTGGATTGAGGGCATATCAACAGCTTGAATCTTTTATGACACAAGACCAAGAGATTAATGTTACATAAAATACAATCTTGGGATTTTGATTAATCTTTTTATGCAGATGGTGTGATAAAACAGACAATTAAACAGCAACTCTAGTTTAAATAAGTTACTGAAAAATTAAATTAGGATTTAAATCAGAGGACTTAATGAAATATTGGGGAACAAATTAAATTTTAGCAACACTTTAAAGATGTAAAAAAACAGCTATTTAAGGTTTGATTAATTATATAAACCAATGTTAAAATCATGATCATTAGTGAATAAGCCACAAAACTAGTTAAGAGATATCTTAATATTTATTTGGTGTGACTGAGAAAAATCCACACACTAATCTGATAGTGGGATAAAAACGTTTTTCTTCTTAATCTGATGCAGGACGACTGCAAATAAATCCCAAGTCAAATGACACAAAAGCACAAGCATCAACACACAAGCTCCGGACAGTTAGGATTACTGCGTAACTTCAGGGAGTTTTATTTACTGCAAGTAAAATCAGTCATTTTAGAGTTTGCTATAAAACTTCACAAGCAGATTTGCCTTTGAATGATATATTGGTGTATTTTCTCAATTTAAGAGCAGAAAAAAAGATTTTTACTTTATGATAAAAAAAGACTTAAGGTTGAAAATTAGTCCAACTATTCTAGAGTAATTGTAGTTCGTCACATCAATAACATTAGACACTGTCAAATTTCACTTTTATTTTTGTCTGTTTGGCTTCATGATAAAAAAAAATAATAATAAAATTTCTGGTGTCAGGGCACACGCGTTAACAGACACCAGAAATCAACAGACATTTCTTTTATTTTGTGAGAGCCACAACACAACGTGAAGACTACATTATGAGGCAATGTATGTTCCCAGATCATGAAAAGTTATTGGTAGAGTAGGGTTGGGCAATATTGGCAAAAAAATTAATCACGATTAATTGTGGTATTTAGCCGATAACGATTAATTTGACGATTAATCCCCTGGAGTCCCTGGACACTCTTATGTCCTAGTCACATGACCAGTTTAGTGGGAAGGATTGCTCTTCATAAAAATCTGTTCCAAATTGTGTCAAAATTAAAGACTTCAGGCTATACATCAAATTTTGAATTGTGTTGATAGATAAATAAATTACAGAACTTTTTTTTAATGTTCGTCATATTTGGAAGCGGAGAGGAGCAGCGAGCGGACTCTGCCTGGTGGCATTGATTGCATTAATCGTCAAGAGCCAAAGAATAATCGATTAATGTTTTTCTGACGATTAATTGCACACGATACAATTATGCCCAACCCTATGGTAGAGTTGCATAACGCATCATTTGAGCATCATCATTGTAACGTATGTGTGCGCACACTGCAGGTCCTGGGATGTGGGAGGCAAATTAAATCAATGTGTTATCGAGAGACTAAACCAAGCAGACCAAAAAAAAAAAAAAAAAACTAATACTTTCACTTTGGTGTGAACCTTCTGGGACAATAATGACATTTTTCGGAGGAGTGATCTTAGTGAACTCAAGCTGTAAAGGAAGATGATGAGGATCTTGACAAAACGAGGAAGATGAGCAAATTTGCCAAGAACTGGAGGGAAAAAAAGGTCCAGTATGTTAAAGCATTACGGAAACAGAAACTATGCGCGACACAAAGGCAACATGTCAGGTGGTAAAAACAGATTCATGTTTGCACATGATAGAAGGAAACATGCAGTCAGGTCCCAGCAAAATAAAAGCAAGCAATAAAATCCAATAAGAATAACTGCCAAATACAGACAAAAAACTTACAACATGCAGAAAAAAGGGATCAGATTGGTGCAGTGTGTTCTTTTTTTAAGCTATGTCTGAAGTATAAGCCAGGCTGAAATGTATTCTGGTTAATGCAAAGCAGAGTATTGACAGGAAGTGAGGCAGTGTGCATTTCTGACTGTTTCCATCTGCTTACGAGCGCAGCAGTGAGTCACAAGGCAGCGGACTGACTGTAAATGAAGCTGTCACAGCAGCTGGATTACCATGCACCTGCGTTGTTACAGCCATGACATCCTGAGATTAAATATGATTTAAGAGATTTATCCGGCAGGATTTTCCTTGTTTTCCCCAGTGTAAACGGCTGTCTCTTTATGTTCGCTGCAAAAACAACAACTATCCTTTAAGACCAAGCAAACGTGCGCAGAGCCCTGGTGCTGCTCACCTCATCTCATTCAGGTTTCTGAGAACCTCCTGCTGCGTCGCTACGATGGAGCCCAGCTGCTGAGTGGCAGAATCCATCTGAGAGAGAAACACGTCCTACTGGTCAGTAAAAGAACAATGCTGCCTTTAAACAGTCATACAAAGAATCTGCTACACTAAAACACAAATTACATTTTTTAAGCATTTTTGTGACTCTGTTTCGTTTGCCCACCTGTCCGGACGCAGCATGTCCCCCTTTCTTGGCGATTTCCTCTGCGACGATAGAAACGTATCTGCGCTGCTCGTCCATGAGCATAGCGATCTGCCGGTTGACCTGTTTGATTTCCAGGTGGATCCGGTTTTGGCCTTCAAACACCTGACGGATCTCCCGGTCGCTCACGCTTTCATACGGATCCTCAACTGAAGAGAGACACACAAACATACAAATAAAAACAGAAATCACCATTTTTAGTGGACCAGTCCTCCCAGCTTGTACGCATTTTGAAAAGCCAGCACACTCAGACAAAAACTAGAAATATGTAGCTATGAAATATAAATGAAGGTTCTCATAATATTTTAAATTTTTATAATTATTAAAATCAGATGCAGAATCCCTGCTGCTGATGAAGGTAGAGGTCGACACACGTGCACCTTATGATGAAATAAAATGAAGTGAATGTAATATATTCTAAATCAGTTTGCAGAATATAAAAATTTAAAGATGCACAATTTATTTTATTATTTGACTGTGGGAAAACATCTATAACAGAGGAGCCCAAAGTGGGGCCCGCGGGCCAAAATTGGCCCGCCAAGTCATTTGGTTTGGCCCACCAGCAGTTGTCCTGGCTACTAGGTTGTATTTACCTGTTTAATGTAGAAACACTATTTCCACTTAGTCATTCCAACTATTGGTCCAACTATATAAAGAGCTGTAGGGCTTACAGTCTTAACTCATGTCACTTATTTTATCATAGAATTATATTAAAATTAAACATACAAGTAACTACAAGAGAGATTTAGATTAGATTTAAGCACATATCTAGATTTGCATACTAAGACCCCAAATACACAAATTTTAATTTATGAAAAGCGCCATGAGCCTTTGGTGCTCGAGTGTACAATATGTCAAATTTTCTGCATGTCCATTGGCTAACAAAAAAATAACAAACAAAAAATGTGGGCCACCATATTGACTGCTATCTTAATCACGAAAAATAAAACAACTTTACTTAAAAAGTATTTGCATTTAATCTATTATATTATTGCATTTGGCCCGCAGCCTTCAGATCCATTTACATTTTGGCCCTCCCAGGGAAAATGTTTGGGCACCCCTGATCTATAAGGAGGATAAGACTGAGGATAAGACACTGGCTTTGTTTGGATGGTTTACCTTTTTAAACATATTTGAAGTATGTTTTTACACAATGTTTTAGGAAGGATAAAATATGAGAAAAAACTAACTTGGCTCTCCTTGAACGTTTGGGTGCTCCTTCTGAAACTCCTCTTTCTTTTTATCGAGCTCTTGCTGGAAGTTCTGAAATTCCTCCTGGTACTTGTCTTTCTCTTCTTTCGGAATCTCAGATTCAACTGGAGGCTTTAATGAGGATCACCAACACAAGAAAAAAAAAAGAAAGAAAAAACAAACAGTATTTACAATTAAAAGGTTGTTCAGCAATTCAGTTAAAAAATAAAAATAAAGACGCAGTAGACACAAACACAGGACTGAAAATATGTATTGGAAAAAATGTATTTACCAGTTGTTGGCCTGGTTCTGTGAGTCTGAATAACAAGAAGGACAAAACATCGTGGTCATCTAACGGAGGCAAGAAATTCTCAATTAGAAAACAAGTTTACTGACAACGCCTCGCAATTCAGTGCAACACTTTAATTATAGAGTAACAACTTTGTAATGTCTTAATTATGACGATTTTGGCAAAAAATAAAAAAGAATGAAGGTCACAAACTAAAACAATAACACTGAAGTTGCAGCATAACAGAAAAAAAAAATTGTCAAAATTTCAAAAATGATTAAAAAAATGTTTGCTAAAAGCCAGTTATTTGGGATGGACTAAAGGAGAGCACAAAACTGAACTGGGGTGACAAGACCAAAAAGAAAAAAAAAACGTATTCAAGTTCATTTTGGAGATGATAATCAGAGGTGGTCATAAAGTAATACCTGCTAAACCTCCTGTGGCAGCAGAAATACCAAAGAAGCCCTCAGTAGGAATGATCATGTTCTCAACCTTCGTGCAGAACTCGTAGTCCTCTTTATCTGGAGTGAAACCGTTGTTGATCAAAACCTGATGAAGATAAGATAAAAAGTCTTCATTACAACAAAGTATTTGAGTTACTTAAAAAAACTATATTTTATTTCTGTTCCTACATCTGCAATAGATGTATAATGTTTTCACCCACCGTCAGTGTTTTTTTGTAGTACATTATTTTAGCTCTGATGGGATAAGGCTTGTTGCGGAAATCTCGTAAACATGTTCCGAGGGCCTGCGTGGTTCCATCACTGTATGAAAACAACAGTTTAAAGTCAATTGGAGTGTTACGCAACATGGCTCTGCATTAATATGGTGCACGCTGAGGGCTAAAGTGCAAAGCAAAGTAAAAGATAAGCAAACATTAGGAATGTTTTCGTAAACACCTCTTCAGTGGTAATGTAAAGACAATAAAGTCCAAGACAAACCAGAGTGGCACTGGAAAAGTGATTTAAAGCTTTCACTTGCCCAGGGGGAGATTAGTAAGGAGAGAGGATTATTTACTTTCCAAGCAAATATAATCATATTTCCTAATCTCCTTTAAGTTGCTGAAATTTAAGTTGACGATGTCATCAGAGGGAAGAAAAAGAAATGTTTACTTACTTTTGGTGGTCGTAAACAAGCTGGCCGTTGTTCCCGACAACAAGTATAGTTGGGTTATTTTTCTGAAAAAGAAAAACACATTAATCCCGTTGTTTTCTGACAACTTTGCTTTTAGGTAATCTTGTTGAAAAGATCAAATACCTGTCTGCAAATAAACTGTTAAGAGTGACAAATATTTTCTTTAAAAGCAGTTCTATTTCACATTTAACACAATAATATGATAATCACATCAGCTAGACAACAAAAAATGTTTTTGTGACAATGAAGGTCCTCTCTTAGCAGTCAAAATGTAAAACATATTGCTGCTATTAACACAAAAACCCCACAAATAAAGACATATTAAAACTCTAACAAACCTTCGCATCGTTGTCAAATGAGTCAAAAAAGATTCCAACTCCATTCCACTTATCAGCAGCACCGTAAACTGGACCGTCCAGGCCTTGCTCAGTGGTGAACCACACTGCCTGTTGGAGGAGGAAATAGAACAAATAGTTGATTTGATTGAAATTATCAGTAATATTAATATGAATATTATTCATTTCATTGATTTTATTAGATTTTTTTAAATTATACATAGAAATTAAACTCAGTAAGATATAGAACTGCCTTATTGCACTGGTTGATAATGTTCCTACTCATGCTAATACTTTTGAGGTTTGTATTTATTGAATTTGTCTTTATTGTAACATTGTCCTGATGTCTTCTGTTTTTGTAATTAAAAAAGGTAGGTGGTTGTGACAATACTGAAATGGAAAACTTGAATTCCAAACCCCTCAGTATTACACAATGAGAAATAACTACAAGTAGAACACAAAGGTTTGATGTCTAGAGATGCTCAGCAGATGCTCAGCCTCACATGCACCGACGCTCAAAGATCTGTTTTTCCAGTCAGTCAATGTAACACAGAAAAGTACACTAAATTGTTGAAGTGAGAAAAGTTTTTTTTTTTAAATCAAAACAACTCATAGTTAGATATTTATATATTTAGATATTAGATATTTCAGTTCATTTATGTGACAGGGGAACAACAGAATGATGATGACAGGAGTTACTTTAATGTTCAGTCTTGCTTTGCAGCAACTTAAACTGATTCGTAAACATCTGTGAGCAAGACGCATCTTCTGAAACCAGCAGCAGTTGAATGCTCATAGCGCAACCGAAGATGTTCAGTGCACCGAAGCGCTGTCAGACTTTAAAAATAAATATGCAAAAACAAACATATTGGATGCAAGTCATTTGTAGAAACTTGAAATTTATGCAAATTTGGAGCCTTGCAAGACTGAAGTTTGCACTTTTGAATACACGTGACAAAAACTTTAGACTTATAAGCTTTCAGAAATTAGTTTTGGTGATTAATTAATGTTCCAAAGCAAATCTACATGGTTTAGGCTTGAAATCCAAAAAAATGGGGAGTTTGTGAGCAAAACCTGAAGCTTGTACCATTTTCTTACTTTAAAAGGTAACATAGTGGGACACTCACTGAACATTTAATACTTCCTTATGACAAAACCCCTTGAATCAAACTACATCATCAGAATGTGCACTGCAGTAGAGCCTTAACACACTGATTTTGCACAAATCACACACACAAATGCCTCAGCCAACAGAGCTGTTGTTAAGCAACAGTTCAAACCCTTACACCACCATCCAAGCCTAAAACAAATCAGGTTTGTCATGAGGACACAGCTCTCGCTGCTTCAGTGAGAGTTTAGTTGTCCTTACCAGACCGTCTGCACCCATCCTGCCTCTTCCAGTTACTCTGAAGGTCACCTCGGCCTCCCAGTTTTCAAAGTTGACTCTGTTTTTTGTCCAGACGGACCCCCTTTGACTCCTGAGCGATGGTGTAATGCGCACCTGGTCTGCACTGGGAATGGCATCTGGAATAAAGACAGTAAGTGTTGAGTGTGAGACGGACCATTCTCCAACTGATTTTGGACACTTTCAAAATAGTCAAATGGCTGCAGCAGCTGCTACAACAAGCTCACTGTTGCTCACAATTTCATTTTTTTAACCAAGAATGTTGTACTATATATTATTTCAAGTGTACAAATACTTTAAAGGGTTGTTAAATAAATATTTAGTTTGACTTCATTTGTTATTTCCTATTAAAGGAAAAATAAATAGAACAAGAAATATTTATCTCAGTATAACTGAGGTGTAATTCTCTCTTCTCACTTTTTTCCTCTTTATTCTCGCTCCTTCACAGTTTAGTACCTGGTTAAAACAATATTTGTCTTCACATATTTACAAATGGCTCAGATGGTCATGGTAACTTGATCCTTTGACAAACTGTTTAAATAAGCTCTTTAAATATATCACAGTGCTTTGTAAACATGTTTAAGGCAGATTTGATTATTTTACACACTAACCAAAGTTTGCAAAGATAACTGTAAGCATTAGATGGTGACTTGAGGAACTGGCTGCATGTCTTGTATAGAAAACGTGCTTGTCATTTATCAATCTTACATCAACTTCCTCTCGGTTATTAGTTACAGAAGTTACCTTGATTGCTTCAAAGGGAAAATTAGATTTGGCCCTGAAGACATGTGTTAGCAGCTAAATGTGATTAAAGGACTCAAAGTAAGGGTATTTTCTGAAAGAACACAGTGATGTCTAGATATTTGTATTTAGTAACGAGAGAGTTTCAACTTAGAGTAAGAGTAATGGAAAAAAAGGAATCAGTCAGTTTTGCTGCTTCTATCATATTGCTTTTTTTTTTTTGCTTGAATCTAGTGTTGCACTCCTTTTAGCCTTTATCTTAAGAATCTAAGAATATTTTAGCTTCCCCTTTTCTTAGTTTTAGCTTTCTACTACCAATTCATTAATTTTACTTTTATCTTTGGCTACTTTTAGCTTGCATTTGCTACTTCTGGCTCTCAGCTAATTACCAGATCTACCTTAAAGCTAGTGTTGTGCTCCTTTTAGTTTTTAACTTAAGCTAGTGCTTTGATCATTTTAGATTGCTTTTTACTAGTTTTTTTATTAGCCATTCATTACTTTAATTTTTAGCTCATCTTTGGCTGCTTTTAGCTTGCATTTGCTACTTCTGGCTATATTCTAGCATTTTCCTTTTTTATTTTTAGCTTTTATTTTATGTTCTTGATCATTTTAGCTTCCCTGCCTGTTATTCTTGTAGCTTTTAGCTACCATTTGACTAATTTTACATTAAGCTAAAAAATTCTTGCTTTTAGCTAACATTTTGCTATTTTTTTTAAAAACTTTTAAATAGCCCTTTTAGAGTTTAGCTAGGGTTTTGCTTCTTTTAGCTATAACAACTTGCACATTTCAGCAGTCATTCAATGCATTTTCTCTTAAAACATAGTAGCTTTAGCTAACTGAAGAATATTTCTGTTCAACATGTTTCCATTCTTCAGCACCATTGACAAAATCGCTCTCACATGTTTCATTTATCAACAAACTTGATGTCTAGTCACTTTCCTCATAGTTAATTAAATGATTAGTGTATTTAAACTCATATACGGGACCATTCCTTACTTTAGGCTCAGTAAGAACTTGAAGCTAAAGGTGCTACAACCGGTGCAGTTTCTACTGGAGCTCTGAATGAAACACATAGTTTCAAACATCGAGAGAGGAAACAGACACGACCATCCCTCGGTTTCCCTCGAACCACATTCAGATTAAAACGCTTGTTCTTATGGAGCAGCGGTTCTGTGATGCTGACAGCTGGATCCAAACTTACTTCCACTGTGGATCCAAAACGGGATACTGCCGTCGGACTGAGACAGGTGCGGTCCTTTGAAGCTGTATTTGTACTCAAAGCGGCGGTGAGGAGGCCCCTCCGTGGCCGGCGGGGAACCTACAGAGACGTCGGCGACGCTGCGGTGAACTATCACCGCCGTGAGGAAAGTTAACGCCAACGATTGAAGGTTCACCGCCGGGAGCCGTGCAACTATGGACACCGCCATGTTTCTCTCACTGCTGACGTAGCGCTCCGTCCGCGAGCGTGACGGGACGTCTGTAGGGCCAACAGGGCGTTTTCTCATTGGTCGGTTTTTGGCTCCTGTCTTTTGTTCCCGCCTCCTCTTCATCTTTTCACAGCTGATTTGAGCCACAAGAGGCCTGCACTGTGAACCCACGTTGTCAGCAGCAACGTGAAATACTTCATTCTTCAGTCAAATGAAACCATAATAATAAAGTCAAAAATCTCACTGACAAATGGTGTAATTAAATTAGTTTCGATGGAGGTTGCTGAAACGTTTCTGTTTTCAACTGTGATGTGGCGCTGTAGAAAATTATCCTAATTAAAATAATTTGCATTGACCAAAATCCTATACATCCCTGATCACCAACTAGCGGCCCACGGGCCACTTCCGTTCTGCGTGGGCTGTGAGAGGGGTCTTCAGTGTGGTGTTCGGGTTAATCAAAGCAGCTGTTTTCCAGGTCAACTTTGTATTTGAAGCTACTAAAGTGTGATTTTATTAACAACAACAACAAAATAAAATTTTCTAAGTGTTTTTGCAACGATATGTAGTTAAACAATACGTACACACACAAAAATGTCCTGCAGGATCATGCAGAAATCTGTAGCTGCTCCTGAGTGTATATATATATTGGTCGGGCAGACATCTGTTTTGGGAATTACTAAGCATACAACTTTTACAATTTGTGCAATTTATGTTAAATTTTCTAAGGAAAAAGACAAGTTATATGGTGCTGAATATTTATTTTGTTGCTTAACTGAGGACAAAGTTGCCTTTTTTCTCCCTCTCACAGATTGAAGATGTGTCTTGTCTGGTCTAATCAAATCAGAGACAGATGCCCGGCTGTCGCAACCACATTCACTCCCACCTGAAACTATTTTAACTTTAACTACAATATACAGTATATATAAAATGACAGGTACACAACCCCAATGTGACTCGATTGGAGCTGCAGTTCCAATCACTGCAGACAGGGTAACATGACAAATCTACTGATGAACTCAGGTGGTGACTTTCAGCACTCTGTACTGCAAATAAGTAAAAAACTGAGAATGAATCACCAAAAATAATGTTATATTCCATTTAAAATTATTATATAACTTTTGAATTTTAAAGTAAGGTGCAGTTTCAACATCTAACAAGAAAAAAGACTGTCATAAATTGATAGTAAGACCATGCATCTAATGCCTTGTTTACATCAAGGATAATGCATGTCGCATTATTTTGATTTAAATATTGCATAAAAGTTTAAATGATTCAAACTGTGGACTAGACTTTTATGCTTTTCAGTACATTATTCTCCTACCATATAGCAGAGGAAGATGAGTGTCTGCAGGATTGACTGGTGGTCAATTGTTTTCTTCTTTTTTTTATTTCCCATACACCATTGGAAAGTGGTCCTAAACCAGTTACAGGACCAGATGAGACAACACATTTTTAACACATTCTTTTAAATATCATGGTTTATCAAAAGGCATTTATAGTGATATCCAGCCAACAAAGAGTGGCTTTAAATTTTATGTGCTGTGATTAGAATTTCCATCCATCCATCCATCCATCCATCCATCCATCCATCCATCCATCCATCCATCCATCCATCCATCCATCCATCCATCCATCCATCCATCCATCCATCCATCCATCCATCCATCTTTCCCTCTTTTTCCTTTCTGGGTCATGGGAGAAGGGGTCACTGGTGGGTGGGTAATATATGGTAATATCAAAAGTTAAGTTTAGGAACAAACCCAGAAACAAAACACACTACTGAAGTGACACTAATCTAGAGACTCCTTAACAAACTATTAGTAAATGCAAGAAACTGCACATCTGACAAAACAACACATTGTTGTATTTATTTTTAATGAAAAAAAAACTGGGATGTGCATCAACAAGTAAAAAGATAAAACAAGTGAACAGAAAGTTCAGAGGGAGTTTCCACCAGGGAGCACAGAGGAATCACGGCCTCGTCCTTTTGTCTGATCGAGCCCTCATTAGAGAGTTAAACCACACTCTTTGTGGGGAAATGAAGGATTTGAATAAATAACAATGCTAATAGATCCATTTACACATTAACAATGGTAAGCTGCAGGATGTTAATGGGTCAGTGAAACTGTGAATAGCCTATTACATGAGTCAGCACAAATATTTGGCCAATGAATTGTACACTCATTAAGTAAATGTAATTCTGGAAGTGATAAGTTGACATGAGTTTTTTTTGTGACAGTTGAATTGAAACATGGTTAATGCTTCACTAGTTTTAGCTCTACGTATTGTAAGGTCTCTCTGAAATCCCTTGACTTTAGTGATGCTCAGCTGGCCTGAACTGATAAAACCTGTTGTGTTGCAGATGGAGCTTTTTTTGTTGTTGTTCACAGAGGATCTAATGTTTGTATTGCCCATGTCACGTCAGGGTGAAAGGGAGAGTGGGTTGTCACCTCCTGGAGTGGAGCTAAAAGAAGCAAGTTGCACCATGGAGTTTACTTTTACCTAAAAAGCACAAAGCAACCATTATCACATGAAGTGACAGTCGGGTGAGACGACAACATGTAAAGGAAGCATCCTGCAGTTAGTTTGTGTCATCTTGTCAAACAGGAACTGTCATGGGGACAAACAAAGTCAAACTTTTACGTATCAGGACATAAATGACCTGGTTGTTAACAAGTTATACAATTATTCAAATCTAACCTAAAGTGTACAAAAACACGCAAGAGATTGCACAAAAACAAAAACAAGCAAAAAAAGAAAAAAAAATGGAAAATCTGTTTGGGAAAAATCTCATTTTTGTAATTTATTTGAATGATCATATCAGTCTCTCAAGTAATTGTGTAAAAAATTGAACCCGCTCTTTTTCATATTGCTTTAATTGATTAAAGTGTGCAGACATTCATTTTTGCACAGCCTAATATCCTGGCAGAACATTTCTGTCAGGTTTAGGTCTGGACTTCAACTAAACCAGAGCAATACATTGATTTGATTTGACTCTTCATTTTCATACGTCTGTGCTTGGAATAACTGTCCTGTTACATGAGCCAATTTCAGATGTCCTCACGTTTCATCCTGGAACAATTTGATATACAGAGGAATTCATGATCGACCCAATAACAGCAAGGTGAGATCCTGTGGCTGCCAAACAGCTAATCTCCCCTCCACCACTGTGCTGGACTGTTGGTATAATAATAATAATAATAATAATAATAATAATAATAATAATAATAATAATAATAATAATAATAATAATAATAATAATTATTATTATTATTTTATTTAAAAAGCACCTTTCAGGACACCCAATGACACTTACAGCGTTATGCTGTATGTGGTGTGTAGGTATGAGATGTTTGTGGTTTCATTTAAGTTACTTAAAAAAGTGTCCTGGTGCATTAAAAACTGATTTAAGACAAGACAGCTCATGTAAAATACAAAATATAGAAACTATTGAGTCTAAACAGTGTTGAAATATCCTAACTCACTTTTAAATGTAACTGTGAAGTGAAATAAAAAAAAAAACAGCTGCTTATAGATTCTGTTCACTGAGATTAGCAGCGCTGCTTTGGAAAAAGCCACTTTTTGTTGTCCTGGGAAAAATATGAAACTCATACTGATTGATCAAAAGATGGACTTCTTTCAGGAAATGAACACTCTTTGAGCAACTGACCTGAAAGATTTGAACAAAATTTTACAAGTATTATCAATTATGAATGTTATGTTACAATTGTTATGTTATGATTTGTTATGGTACAAATGTTATGTTATGAATATTATGTTAAGTTACATTACATTACATCATATGTTTTGTGTTATAAATGTTACGTTACGTTATGAATGTTATGCTGTATGCAATGTTAAGTTACATTGCAAATGTTGTGTTTTGAATTATAAACAGAAATGCTCCTGATGTGATTTTTGAGTCTGAACTTATGAAGTGTGATTATAAAGTGATGCGACCGTCCATCTTTAAACTTTCCATTTTTTCTTGAGACTAACAAGTCAAGTAGTAATAAACTCAGGACACTATCACTACATATACACCATCTCAAGCTTTCCAAGGATATGAATTTGTCTAAAAAATGGTTTTATAATATATCAGCATCCAGAATCACATCAAAGTATTTAAATTTATCTGCGTTGTGGATTTTTAACCATTTGTAATATTGCTTTCCTTTTTTACTACGAGAAAGTCTTTTCAACAATCAGTGTGAAACAGAGTTTTTAGCCAAACTGAATCTTTGTGTTTCATGTGACGACCAGATAGCAGTTTAAGCATCTTTTCCATGTGCATATGAGCGTGCCATCTGTATACATTAGATTCAGAATCATCACATCACAGTTAAGCCCACGTACACTTACATTTACTATTGCCATGTTTCCTTTATTAAAAAAGGGTAAAACAACCGTCCAGTATCCCTTTGGATACTTGTTTAACTGCACAAGACTGATTGATTTAGATCATGCATTTGATTTTCAAATATATTTTTATTTTTTTCATAATAATTTAACTCAATAATCTAACAATAATAATCCGAGTTGCATGGAGTTTTGTGCTGTGTTATTATTTTTCGGTCTCAGTTCTGTGCACAGAGGGCCGCGCACTCACTCCGAACAATACAGAAAGGACATAACCTTTATTTCATTTCGCTCCAGCACAGTCCAGTGTGGTCCAAGCAAGAGAGGGCACCTATTGTCCCTCGAGGACTTTGCCACATTCATTTGAGGAGCAGCCCCCTTTCTCATTATTAGCAGACACACTAAACGATGGGCTCCCAACAATGCCGGACAGATCCCTTTATGTGCACAAGTGCTCAGCGTTTCAGCAGCCACTGTGTGCCCTCCACCACTCCTTCTCCTTTTTAGATACCTGCACATAAGTGAAAGATGTGGAGCGCACAAAAGATATCCTCAACTTTCCTTTTACCTCTATTCTGAGAGACAGGCCCATTTTAAAGCTTTTATTTGCGCAAAGCCTCTCATTAACTCTGCTCATGCTGCCTCCCTCGGCTTGCCATCGCTTAAGTGCGGGGTGTTGTAAAAAAAGCTACCAATTAGTCACTCATCAGCTCCAATTAGAGGAGACAAAGCCTGAGTAAAGATAACTCAATGAGAGGGAGAGCTGGAAGGGGTGAGGGCTGTCTGTGTGTGTGTGTGTGTGTGTGTGTGTGTGTGTGTGTGTGTGTGTGTGTGTGNAATTAAATCTAATGTGGTTCTGTCTGCTTCTTTTGATAATCTACATTAACAGTTTAGATAACAATGTGCCACATGCTCATTTTCTTTTTCATGCTGGTGGCACCATCTTGAATTGTGCAGCTAACTCACTACAAAGTGCTTTTGAAAAACTACAAGTTGCTTTTAATGTGGTTCAGTCAAATGTGTGTCATCTAAAACTTGTTTTGAATTCTCAGAAATATAAATAATGCTGTTTTCTAACACTAAACCCAATCTGTTGCCACCCATAATCACATTTCAAGGCTCTCAGACTGAATTGGTGTCTCAGTATAAATACTTAGGTTTTGTTACTGATGAATCTCTGACTTTTGTTCCCCACATTCAACAACTGATAAAAAAAAATCTGAAGATAAAGCTGGGTTTTTATTTTAGAATCTGAACACGTTTATCTTTTGAGGCTAGAAAACATCTTATTGCTGCTATATTTTTACCCATCATAGATTATGGAGATGTGATTTATGTAATGCACACGTCTTCTCACTGGTTGCATCTGTTGGACTCTGTGTATCATGGAGCCTTGTGTTTCATCACTGGTCTCAGAGCCCTTACCCACCACTGTCATCTGCAGACCACTGGTGGGTGGCCTGCCTTATCCACCCGCAGATTTCTTCATTGGTATATTCTTGTTTATAAAGCAATCTCAGGTTTACTTCCTCCTTCCCTCCTGTCCTGTATCAATAAGAAAAACACAGGAAGTCATCGTCAGCGCACGGATGAGTTCATTTTATTAACAGTACCTAAGGTTCACACTGATCATGGCAAAAACTCCTTCCACTTTGCTGCTCCCTCATCCTGGGATCTTTGGGGCGGGGCCATGTGAGGGGGTGGGGTCATGTAACAGGAAGGAGGATGAGCTGCGCTGCACCTGCAGGTTGTGGGTACGACGCACCCTCAGGATGTATTTGCAGGTTTTTTTCACAACAATGGAGCAATAAATCTAAAAGCAGACGTTCATAAAGTCTGAGGCAGTGAATAAAAGCTGAGTCATCAACTTTTTATTGTTTAGTCTAAAACTTCCTCTGATTTAAACTCATTTATTATTCATTTGACCTGTAGAGTCCACACTAGTGAACAAGTCGCTGCTGAGTCCTGAACTCTCCAGAATCCCAGATGAGTCGACTCAAATGAATCGAATCACTTAAGAGAATGACTCATTAACCAGAGTCCATAAAGTGAACTGAATTTAGCTGCTTTAGCATTTAGCAGAGTTGGAAGTCAGCAGCTTCAAACCAACGCATTACAGTAAAAAAACAGCTGTGGTGCAGTGGTCGAGCAGCCGACTTGGAGCAGCGGACGTGTGTGTGTGTGTGTGTGTGTGTGTGTGTGTGTGTGTGTGTGTGTGTGTGTGTGTGCATGTGTGTGGAGCCACCCCAGGGGCCGGCACAACATAGTTTTTAATCATGAAGAACTTGTGGCCATTCAGTGGCACAGGTCTATTCACTCAGCATGCTCCTCAGCGGACCTTTTTCTCAGGGCCAAGTGTTGTTGTGCTGGGAAGACAGGCCCCCCAGGAGTCCCAGAAAGAGAACCATTCAATCCCCTCTACCTGTTTGCGGCATGTAAAGCACTCAGGCTCGAGCCGATCTCTCAGTATTGTCTTTTTCACTCAATACTTCCTTAAACTTAGGCCTCAGCAAGAACGGGCCCTTTCAGACGGGGGAATAGGGGATGTATGTTAAGGGGGTGCCTTTCGCCTCATTAGAATTGCATTTGCACTGTCTTGTAATTATTTGAAGGGAAACAATGTATTTTTTCCCCTTTTGCATCAAAATCTTTGCTGAATAGAGGATTTTTTGGGGCGGTTAATGTGTCGCCCACACTAATGCATTAATTAATGAATTGGGTAGCACTAATTTTCTCTAACCTGCCTCTCCCTGCTTGTTCCCAACAATTCTTGGTAGGCCACTTTTAATAAAATTACCTCATTAAGACCTTGCTATCAAATATTTTCCGTGGAAGTGTGTGTGTGTGTGTTCTTGCTCAGAGTTGTGTCTTTTTGTGGCTAGTTCTAAATAATGACAGGAACGAGCAGGGAGATATAATTAGGGATAAGGGGGCTCTTTAGTAAATATTTGGAATCTTTTAAGGCTCGCCTTTGTTTGATGGCGATTAATTACTTCCAGAAGGGATTTTGGAGAATTACATTGTGAAGTTATTCTTCTGGTCCAGATCAGCTCAGATAATTAAAATGATGGGCAGTCTGAAAATATCCTCAGTGTTTAAAATAGGTAGAAATCAACAGTTTGTGTTGACATATTACCAATCTGTTGTTATGAAATGACTTTTTGTATGTGAAAGCTGCCACACAAAGAGAATAAACTAGAAATAAAAAGAAACTCAAATCTGTTTTTGTCTTTTCAACATAAAATATGACAGAGAAAATGATTGTAAATCAATACGTTCCCCAACTACATCAGGGACTCTGCAGTGGAGCTCTTTAAATATGTCCAGGTTTGTTTCTGAAGAAAAACTTATTGATCAGTTGTGGCTCTAAAAAAAATCTTTAGGCTCAGTCAGTCCCAAAATAAACCACGAAACACACATTATCCACACAGACTGAACATTCCTATCAAACGGTCTTCTCAATTGTGTTTTGATTACTGATTGTTCAGCTCTGTGAACCACACTGCAGAGTTTAATGAGTTCACTTGTGCTGAGCATCACTCAATAGACTGAATCACACAGGCTGAAAAGACTGACACCTAGTGGACTTTAAGGAACACTTGGTTTTAACAGGAGCTGCATTGTAAGTTTTTTTATCATTACAATTGGCATTTAGACCCTTTTAAGCTTTATTGAAAATCATTATTAAAAAGGCATTATCAATCTGGTTGACTAAATAAATAATATTATACAAATTTATAACCTTTTATAACTTTTTTATAGTAAGACCTTTCTGGTTATATTTATGCTTTTAAAAATGAACATTACAGATTTGAAAATTTGTCTGTAAGCACCTGTACTTGTCAATGAAAACCCTTTCTTTGATGATGTATGGTATTGATTTTTAGAAGTGTTGAGTAAATTTCATTATTATTGTTTTTATGTTACTTTGTTGTGGTGGATGTAGCAGGTCTCTTGTAAATGAGACAATGAGTCTCAAGAGATTTTCCTGTATAAATAAAGGATTAAAAAAAGAGTATTAATAGTCAATTTAATTCAGTTCAGGGGTTTTGATTGGGGCATAATAAGAATGATGTCGGTAATTAATCTAAACTCAGGTGTTAAATAGTAATGATGATGATGATGATAGAGATAATAATAAGTAGCAGAAGAAGAAGAGAGTGAATGGTTGCCTGTCTTATTTGTCTCTGTTGGATGGACATGCGACCCGTCCAGGGTGTAGCCCGCTCCTTGCACAGTAACTGCTGGATATGGGCATCAGTGACCCTGAATGTAAGAAGCGGCTATAGATAATGGATGGAAAATAATAATAATAATAATATTGCTTAAATTGATTTATGTAACCCTTCCTCAATTTAAGTGAATCAACAGTTGTTTTTCTGGGGTCATCGATGATGTTCTTTCACCTTGGCATCATGTTAACACACATCTTTAATTACACTGATTATGAGCAGTTATCAGTGAATTTATCAGCAGCACCTCGCTGCTGCTTTTATTCTCAACAGTAAACTTATTTTTTACACACATTTCTTTTATTAAATTTGGCTTCATGTTTAGTAAACAACTAACTGTATGACTTGATACATTTAGTTTTTGACGAGGCTATAAACTAGGAACCTGGTAAAGACCAAATTATTTTTAGACTTGCAGAGGGAATATTGTCTTTTAAAATGACTGCAACTCTGAATACTTGTGTAGAAAAAGTAACTAAATAGAATCAGAAGTAGCAGAAATTCCTCCGGCAGATTATGAAAGAAAGCTGGTATGTATAAGCACAAATGATCAAAAATTGTTATAAAAAATACAAACACTTTGTAGAAACTGTGAATCCCATGCAGTGTATGGCATACATAATCAAAGTTGTGGGGCAGAGAAAACAAGAGTTATGATTATGAAACAAACTCCAAAGAAGATAGCCTGAAAAAAACAATGTTAATAAGCTGAAGACAAAAACTTATCACACAAAAAAATCCATGGCAAAATAAATTTTACTTCAACATTTCAGCAAAATGTTGTAGGTGGGAAACAACTGAGTAGTATGGTAATAGTGCATTTTGGTTGATCGTTTAATGTAAAATGACTCACCAACCATGCTGGGACTAATTATTTAGCCAAATTCTATTATTTATCTTTTGAAATAATGATTATTCTTAAACCAAGCACCATCTTGTTTTCTGCCAATAGCAAAATTAAACATGTATGTAATTTTAAGGATTAATTTAAACTTCTTCAACTACTAGAGATACAAACCCCAGTGCTTTAAAGTAATGTAACTGCTCCCCCTGGTGGAGAATCAAGACAAAAGAACTTTTAACGTACTCAGCTGCAGAATCCACAATTTACAATTTAAAAACTGATAAATCCAGAGAACTAAATAAACTAAAACTTTAGGCTGTTTCTTAAAATAAACATTTTATTAATGTAACAACTAAAAATTAGGTAGCATAACATTTTTCTTTTCTTTAGACAAACTAATAAAATGAATAACTTCTTATTGAATTCCACGTAAATATTTCTTTATCAGGATGTTGATGCTTAATGGGCACAGATCACATCAGAGAAATGAGTCACAACATTAAGTTCCACAGCAGCAGTTGTGTTGCTTTATAAAACTCTTCAATTTATGCATGTGTGAATGCTTTGATATTTTTTAAAAAGTTAGGAAAAATAAGACTAATGAGAAACTGGTTTAATGAACTCAGGAGAACTGTTTTTAAAAATGATTAAAATGCATGTACTGGCACGGTGAAATCACTTTTGATAAAAAACAAACTAAATCTTGCATACCATACAAAAATAGAGCATTTGTAATAAAAATGCATTCATTAAATAAAAAGCAAACAACAAATATTTACACCTAATAGAAAGTATTTAGCATAAGCCTCCACACAGTCGAGTCCGTTCAGTTTGTTCTGTCCCGTGTTGATTTCCTCTTCCTGCCCCTCCTGGACCCTCTGCCTGTTTGAGGGGGAGCGTCTTTATATTCGTCTCCTGAGCCTAAGTCTCCACTGTCCTGTGTGTCCCTCCAGCTATCAGGGGTGTCAGGAAAGTCCCCCGGAGAGTGCACTGGCCGGCCGTACACCGTGCTCTGCAGTTCAGCAATATCGTTGCGAATATCTGCCATCAGCAGAAGCAGGAAGTCGAAGGAGCCCGGGGGGCCCTAAGGGTTTAAGTACAACAATAAAGCCGTTTTTTTGTCAGTATTTACCACAGTCTTACTTTCAACTGTGTCACTAATGTTTTCTGTTGTCCACTTTACAGCCTGCTTTAGTTTAATGGTTAGAAATGTGCGGCATCTGCATGAATGGATTTATTCTTACTGGTGGTCCAACTGGGCCAGGAGCTCCTCTGTCCCCCTGGAGGAAAGAAAACAAATATTTAGATAAGATGATTTGCAGTGGATGAGGGGAGGGGGCATGAGAAAAAAGTGATAATATTCAAGCGGATGTGAGAGAACAAATCTCTACATGAAAGTAGGAACAAACACTGTGGAACTAGAGAAAAGAAAAAGCAACAAATGTTTTCAAGAAACTTTCAATCCGATAAGGATTGGTAACGATAAAACTGAGTGATTACTTTTTATGCATGCAGCACTAAAAAAGTTTACACTTACAGTATAGCACTTATAATAGACATGGACATAACACTGGAGTTTTCAGAGATTTCTTTGAAACACTTTATATATCTAATGCATAAAAAATAAGGCACTAAATAATGTGCATTTTAATTTATTATAGGTTTTCTAAACTCAGAAAAAGTTAAAGATTATTTGGTTTTCAAGCTTAAATGTCATTCTGCATGTTATTAGCCATCAACACACTTCTGGTTGGATAAATGATCACTCTGGTTGATTAACCGACAGCATTTAATTTTGATTGATCATTTTTGACAAAATCTCTGACGTTTAGTCACAATCCACAAATTATTTCCAGGTCCAAAAGCCTAATCCATTATAAAACAGTTTTTAATTTATGTTGGGTGAACTGTCTTCTGGTGGACCAACAATTCGGACCAAGTTTAAACCATTTTTTATTGGTCTGAATTTATTATTATAAGTTTATTTTACTCTATCCACTCTGAAATCTACCTGTCTATATGCAGAAAATCAGCCCAAGAGACTTAAGGCCTTTACACAGATTAGTGAGCAACATTTCTTCTTGTTTTCTTTGAAGAATCAAATGATGCCATGACTACAGAGAAAATAAAGAAAGTACAAGTATTTAAGAAAAAAAATGCTACCAAGAGGGTTTTTTTTCCATTCTTTGTTGTATGATTTGATGTGTGAGCTAGCAGCATGAGCTCTCAGAATAGGCACAGTGAGCACACTAACACTGTCATGATACGTTTCAAGAGTGTGATTTGTGTCAACGTTTATATTTGTAAGTTGTACAACTAATCTCAAAAGAGACACATCCTGCAGTTGAGACATCTGGAGAAAAATGGCTTCCTTTATCTCCTTAAACCAGCTGCTATGAACAGCGCTGTTGTAAAGGGTGATGCTACGGTAATTTTAATAATTCAGCTATAGCATGCCCCCAGAAATTAACAAAAAACATTTCAAGATGGAATTTAAACTATGGAGAATAGTGAATAATATGGTTCATTTGAGAAATAGACCAGCTGACAAAAACTATTCAAAGCCAAATATTGGCATCACATTCCTGTCCTTGATGAGTGTAAAAAAAACATTTATTCACATTTTTTTTACTCCAGCAAGACAGAGTACAGATTTTTTGTCCTCAAATGTGGAAGAGTTGCTTAATAAACCACATCCTGAGCACAACACTACACTGTAACCTGTTTAGATATAAATGTAATTTGTTAATTTGAAGTGGTGCGCGAGGTTCGGCGTTGTTACAACTGTGAGGCTGGCTCAGGGTCACACCAAGGCTGCCAGTGTTTTGGCAGATGGATTGGATTTGTTCCTCACTGAGGCAGATTACCATCATCCTCCAGTCTATCCACACAAATATCCCAGTTGTACCGAAAGAAAACTGAGGTACTGTGTCAATAAGGCAGATGCACCTAAGTCTTCCCATACGCTCGTTTCAAAAACAAGCAAACAATGTTATGAGATCCAACAGCCCAATTCATGAGAAGAATCTCTTGAGCTTTTATGTTTGGTGTTTCTGGATCAGAGACTCCTGTTTTTATGTCGCTTTAAGGCTGGATTATGTTTCAAAGTTGATTGTCCATTAGTTTTCTGAACTACCTGAGCTATCTGCTCTCAGACTAAATTGATTTTATCATCCTACAAAACGAGGAGACTCAGGTTTTTGATTAAAAGTAAAGAAACCAAACCTCACTCACCACAACAATAACAATATAGCCCCAAAAACCTGAACTCATTGGTTTCAGGGAGAACAAGCCTGGTGTAGTGTAAATGACTGGCCGAAACGCAGGAGATAAGCTGTGCTTTCACATAAAAAAAACAACATGTAAACAGATCCTTAATATTTCTATTCTGTTTCTGACAAGGAAAGATGCTATGAAAGCTTCTCGATTAAAAAAAAGAGTAATGGAAAACACTTTAACGCCACAGAAAAGTAAAAAAAGCTTTGTGGATGCCATTATTTACTAGGAACAAGGCTAACCAAAGGTTAAACTGCACTGTTGAGCAAACTGCCCACCTAGCAGACAGGTGTGGGCCAGAGCTAATATCAAGCTGGCACTGCTGGTCTGACAAGTGCTTTGGAAACGAATGTGGGCCAGGTCTGGCAATGATGATGGCACTGTTTTAAGATGGCATGCCACAATTATGTGTTCGGGGTTTGGTTTATGTTGTACTGGCCCATGTTTGGACCACCTCTGGCAAAAGCCATCTGGACCACTAAAGGGCCATCATTCTTTGTGGTATCTGGGCTGAGTTTTAGAGTATTTAATGTACTGTGTGGGTCAGAACTGGGCCAGACAAATATTGCTATGTGGGTAGCATAGCAGCTAAATCTAGTTTGGTACACTTGTTTTGGTTTTGCTCTGTCTTTTTATTGCAACTCGCAAAAAAATATCCTGTCATTGGCAAGAAAAGGTTTGCTGGAGCAGCATCAAAATACACTGATGTGACAGAAAAGGCCAAAAGTAAAGTGTGTACAAATTAGCACAAATGTACAAATACATTTTGTGCTAATTAAAGCGTTAGAAATATTATAAAATGAACAGACAAGGACAGTAGTGTATAGAAATATAGCATTTCACATTACCTTCAGACCACTCCGTCCTGTTGCTCCTGGAGGTCCCTATGGTGTGAAAAAAATTTAAATAAATGAACAACAGCTTTGTAATTGTTGTTTTTACCAACTTTTCTGGCTTCTAAATGTGACTCGTGTCTAAGGATGTAACACTTCCTAACCTCATATGCAAAAATTGAGCTATCATGTTAACGATTAATTCATTATTTTAACAGAAAACTGTTAGTTTTTTTCAGTAATTACAAATATTTAAATCATTATGTTCCACTAAGACAGAATAACAAAGACACATTGGACTTAAGTTTTACTTACAAAGCAATAAATTGCTTTCTCCTGTGAAAACACAGTTTCTGACTTCATGTTTGGCTTTTTGCAGCTCGTGATATGACTGATTGCAGGTGTTGATAGTCCGATTTACCAAAGATGAGATTGCATAAACACAGGAGCTTTAAAAAGTACAAATAAATCCCAAATGGCAATATCATGCACATTCTTGATTCAGGTCCCACACCTCAACACAGAGGGTTCACATTCGCAAGCGACTGAGTGCTACATAAAAATACTGCAAGCCAACGAAAACAACTAAAGCTGTAAATGGATTTAGTTCACTCTGTTGTTATTACCATCACCATGTGTCATCCTTTCTGACCTTATAAAAATGAGAGTCAAAAATGATGGCATGTTTTCCTTCTCTCCCCAGGTCTGTCTCATGAAGCAGGATTACGAAATTATTTGAATGATTTTGGTGAGTAAAAACCAATAAGCCCCCAAAACCTGAAAGAAAAGTGAAATAAAAAGGAGGAAAAAGGATATAGCTGACTCATTTTTATTCATTTACCTTTCCTGCTTTGTGACTCAGAGAGGAGTTGAGCTGAAAACAAATGCCAAGATATTTGTGCAGGAGAACTGAGTGCTGAAGATACCATTATTCATAGGTTACAGCGAGGCCTGCATCGCTTACATTGATAATTTATACTTACAAACAGAATATTTTATGCATGGGTGTTAAGGTTATGGCAATACTGGGCTTTAAATGTTTTCTCAGAACTGCTCTTTCTCAACGGCAGGAGGCTTGTATTGATTTTACAGTTACTAAGATATGAAACCACTTTGTCACAGTCTAGATGAAGGCCAAAACTGCACCCTCAGCTGAGAGGAAATAGGCTTTAATGACCAGGAACAACTTATGAACATAATGCGTGAACTGGAAGCTGCTGGAGCATCCGTGTTGCTGTCTACAGTCCAATAAGTTTTATATCACTATACACTGTAAGACAGCAAAGCCTCTGCTCCAAAATCAACACCTTTAACCTCAACTAAAGCCTCTAGCTGACCACAGGGGGAGTGTTTTATGGTTAGATCAGACAAAAATGTAGCTGTCTGGCCACTAGAAGTGTGTATAGAGGAGTACAACGCCAAGAACTTTGGACTGAACAACTACAAGTAGCAGAGGTAGCATCAATTTCTGGAGTCATGTTACCCAAAGTAGACCACCTCAAAATGTTCCAGTATAACCTCAAACCAGCAGCTAGGCAGATAAAACACAACCAGAAGGTCCCAACAGGACACAAACCTCAGACACACAACAGAACCAGTTGTTGAATGGACTAAACAGACTGATGTTGTTTTTATCCTTCACTACATCAAAAATTACTGCACTGAGCTCAGATGTTTGGCTTGTGCAGTAAAGATACCCAATGTTACTAGATAATAAACAGAATACTCGTTATCCCAATCAAAATTTTAAAAGTCTAAATCCCTTTCACAAAATCGATTACATGTTTTTGTCTAATAAAAGCTAAAACACATTTCAGCGTTCCTCACAAACCCCAGCTGTCTTTAATAAGACCTTATAGACTGGTGATATCAGGACATTAATTAACAGGATAAAATGATCTAAATGCTGCAGTGTGTGAAGATAAACTATGGCCCTGTGTTACTGTCCTTTATAAATGATAAAAGTTCAAAATACACCAGAGAGAGTTACAAACTACACTCACCGGCCACTTTATTAGGTACACCTGTCCAACTGCTCGTTAACACTTAATTTCTAATCAGCCAATCACATGGCGGCAACTCAGTGCATTTAGGCATGTAGACATGGTCAAGACAATCTCCTGCAGTTCAAACCGAGCATCAGTATGGGGAAGAAAGGTGATTTGAGTGCCTTTGAACGTGGCATGGTTGTTGGTGCCAGAAGGGCTGGTCTGAGTATTTCAGAAACTGCTGATCTACTGGGATTTTCACGCACAACCATCTCTAGGGTTTACAGAGAATGGTCCGAAAAAGAAAAAACATCCAGTGAGCGGCAGTCCTGTGGGCGGAAATGCCTTGTTGATGCCAGAGGTCAGAGGAGAATGGGCAGACTGGTTCGAGCTGATAGAAAGGCAACAGTGACTCAAATAACCACCCGTTACAACCAAGGTAGGCAGAAGAGCATCTCTGAACGCACAGTACGTCAAACTTTGAGGCAGATGGGCTTCAGCAGCAGAAGACCACACCGGGTGCCACTCCTTTCAGCTAAGAACAGGAAACTGAGGCTACAATTTGCACAAGCTCATCAAAATTGGACAAGAGAAGATTGGAAAAACGTTGCCTGGTCTGATGAGTCTCTATTTCTGCTGCGACATTCGGATGGTAGGGTCAGAATTTGGCGTCAACAACATGAAAGCATGGATCCATCCTGCCTTGTATCAACGGTTCAGGCTGCTGGTGGTGGTGTCATGGTGTGGGGAATCTTTTCTTGGCACTCTTTGGGCCCCTTGGTACTAATTGAGCATCATTGCAACGCCACAGCCTACCTGAGTATTGTTGCTGACCATGTCCATCCCTTTATGACCACAATGTACCCAACATCTGATGGCTACTTTCAGCAGGATAATGCGCCATGTCATAAAGCTGGAATCATCTCAGACTGGTTTCTTGAACATGACAATGAGTTCACTGTACTCAAAYGGCCTCCACAGTCACCAGATCTCAATCCAATAGAGCATCTTTGGGATGTGGTGGAACGGGAGATTCGYATCATGGATGTGCAGCCGACAAATCTGCGGAAACTGTGTGATGCCATCATGTCAATATGGACCAAAATCTCTGAGGAATGCTTCCAGCACCTTGTTGAATCTATGCCACGAAGAATTGAGGCAGTTCTGAAGGCAAAAGGGGGTCCAACCCAATACTAGCGTGGTGTACCTAATAAAGTGGCCGGTGAGTGTATATAATGGCGATATTTAAAATGATGTAATGACATTTCTGTGGTGGCCCTCTGACCGTGCAAAAACAAACCAGTCCAGAGCTGGTTCTAATGTAAAGAAACCTCAAAAACTTTAAAACCTATTAAAAACTAATATTGCTCTAATGGTCCTGTCTATGATGAAAGTGTGTAACTTTACAAATGCATACTTCTGTTCAGGGTTTCAAATTGTGGAACAATTTAGCGAAGGACTTCAAAATTACTGGCACGATTCATTCATTTAGAAGAAGGGTCAAAACTTTGTTTATGAAAATATATGGGCCGTCTGTGTTTGGGTAATTTACTTTTTTTTCCTCGGTTGTTCATTGGAATGTAAAATGGTAGTTCTTTGTTGATGTATATTTTTGTCACATTTATGTAAGAATTTCGAAAAAAATATATTTTAATTGGGGCAGATATAAAATTCTTTTCTTTCTGCTCCTTTTCATTTAATGATATTGTGCTTTTTTGTTTTTTATATATGTTTTATTTTGTTATTTAAATGAAATAAATTTATATTATCTTGTGTTACAAGATAATAATAAAATATAATACGACACAAATGTACAATACAAAATTAAAGCATTTGTAATGCAAACACTAAACAGAAATATCTATTTCATTTAACATGAACAAGTGACCTGAGCTTTTACCACCAAAACTGCAGGTTTGATTAAGCTTAGTCATTATGTAAAATAATGTTTATATACTGACCACAGGTCCACGAGAGCCACGTTTGATGTGGTACAGGTCTGGTGTGGGTCCAATAGGTCCCATCAAACCCCTGGAACCAGGTGGACCAGGGGGTCCCACCAGTCCTCGAGGGCCCACAGGTCCTGGATCTCCTAAAATAAAGGTAGAGCTTTTGTGATTTTAGAATTTTGTCTCGACATCTATCATTTGATTCTGATATTAATAATCCTATCATGATAAACTGTAATAATCCATGTGATCTGGTTACTTCCAGACAATCTACCCTGCAGCAGAAACATTATGTAAGTTAAAATTAGCATTCACTATACATCTAAATATAAATGCATCTCTTCCTGACTGGTGATTAGTGCTGGTTCAAGCCTAAACCTTTGCATGAAGGTGCCTTATGAAGAATCTCCTACCTGGAGGTCCAGGAGAACCTGGAGGCCCTGGTAAAAACAGAGGTGATGTCAGGATTTTCTCATTTGTCATCTGCACGGGAACATCAGCACTATTTGACAGCAAGGCCATCTTAGAAAAAAAAAACAGAACAATGAAAAAGATAGTTGAACAAACAGATGAATACAACTGAAAAAAAGTGTTTTTTTCCATTGCTTTGAACTGATATAAATTATAATTATGTAACTGTGCAATTTTATCAATTGGCTCGTAAATGTTTTGCATAAAATGATTTATAAAAGCTTTGCACTGTCAAACATGACAGGAAAATTTACACACTGGAGAGCCAACATCTTGTAAAATGATGCTAAAATTATATACCCTGCCAAAGATGAAAGCTGGTCTCATAGCTGCACCACATAATAAACCAGAACCAAACCAGATGGAAGCCAGACAACCCATCTGCATTACTCTGACCAGGTGAGCTCAGTCTGTATGTTAAGTGGATTTAGTTATCTTCGATCTGTGTACCATCTTGTAGATTTTCCAGTCTGAATGGGGAAACGTAAAATACCTAGATGTGGTCATTAGGACATACACACACATACTTGTGTACTATCCTGATTAAGACATTTTATTTACTCACAGTATACTTACTCTAAGTAAAGCTGTGGTTCACCTGCTGATTAAAAAGGCAACTAAATGTGTTTATATGTTTGAATTTCTCACTGATAGTTAATACATAAATATAAAAAAACTGTATAGTAGTCAACAAACATGATGTTTTCATGTTGTTTTCTTAATATATGCTGAACTATATATGAGTCTGGGAGCCCAGACAGCACACAGCTGGAAGCAATAGATCAAATGTTACAGTGGAGAGTGTTGAGTGGTGCTACTGACAGACTCGTGCTCAGATAGGTTCACACACTGACAATTACACAGGTGGAGATGAAACCCTAATGCTGAGTTTTACATAAACATCCTACCAGTTCGCGTCTGTGGTCCCCCCACACTCACTTTGAAACATTCCACGGGAGAGATCCATGCATGATCA